CATATTTAACGTAATCATATACATTGAATTCTCAATGCAAATAACTGACCAACATCTACATGATTAGTGAAGTAGGAAGGTGTTTTCTAAAACAAAGAAATAATGACTGGATTAATTTGAATTCATATTGATTGAATAGACATCGAATTCACTTGAATGAGAATATATAATAAATATATATATTTCTGAAAATTAGTGCAAAATAGGTGCCAATTTTCAGATATTAACGAGTCAATACAGACGGTTAAGTAATAATACAGGAAAAAATATGTAACTGTTTTGCAAAAAGGCGTAGTGCCTAGCTTACTTAAAAATGGGAATTTAAGTAACAAATACTGATGATAATGTTTAACAGTCAATATAAACTACCGACATGCTATGATAACCAAACAACAGTGGACATTCACTGAATTAAAGACTAACAATAGAATGTTTATATCTCATATGATAAATAAATTGATGAAAGAAACTTCCGGACATATGCATGAATAGAGAAATTATTGGATTCTTTTGTTATAGTTTCAGCGATATTTCTAACCGTTTAAAAGATACTAGTTCATGGGAGATTAATTAAATATGAATATACTTTTATGGGCATTAACATGAGCGCATGAAATCACTTTTTCATCTCAGTCGACATAATAAGCACATTTATCAAATACTTGGAGTACAAACGGACAAATATTACTAATAATATTAACAGCTTTATTGATTTACCATAAATTTCTTGTTAACAAGCATTACAATATCAATTTTACGATAATTATGTTCTTTGAATGCTTTTTTAATAAGCACTAACTTCCGATAACATTCAATGTCCAACGTTTTTTCGTTCTATAAATACCTTTTTCCTCTACCGTTTGCCAAATTCATGAATTCCAATATTTTCGTTGGTTAACGAAGAAGAAAATATATCAACGACTATAATGTTTTAGTTTAAAATTCACACTATTCAGTATAACGATAGATTATAAGCCTTTCGTAATTATTCGATTCAAACAAATCTAAAACATGCAGGTCCATAGGGATATATGAACATCTCGAAACTAGGTCATTCAAACATTGTAGTGGGGTTCTGCATCACGATATTCACAAAGTTTTAGATGGCTGGCAAGTTGTTTTATGGCAAGAAAGTAGTATTTTATGAAAACATTAAAGGCTAAATGAGGAAAAATGAACTTATGAACAGTATAATCCTTTCTTTGTCTATAAGAAATAACCATTTAATGCCAGCTAGCATTTATTAACATGAATAATACGATTTCAAGAGAATAATTATTATCTGTTACAGTGATAGTGAGTATAACTCTGTATTCACTGCGAAAATTCTTTACCTTCTTAGTGAAAATACGATTAAGTAGTATAGCATTGATTCATATATTATCTAAAACCTTAACCAGATCTCAATGTTATACCCTACCTACAATCGTGATAATACCAGTAATTCGAAAATCAATATTTTTAACTAACCCTGACAGTGTTTTATTTGAAATATACTAATCAATTGTTACACTCCAAAATTTCAGTAAGTTGTCATTATAGACTATGCAATCAAACTAATACTAATCTGTATAAACCCAAGAGTAGCATGTGCAGCGATAATGATTATGACATTTTGCGTAATTCAAGAAAAAGTTCGATAAAAATGTCAAAGAGTGATATAATTGCATGATCCATATATATATATATATATATATATATATATATATATATATATATATATTCTTGCCAGTTTTAACATAATTTTATTCGAACTAGTCTAAATGATTTTAGAAACAGTGAAATATTCATAATACTCACAACTTCACTAAAAATACGATAAAGTTGTCTTTTAGAGAAATGCGTAAATATAATCGACCAAAATTTACTCTACGTACAATACTTTTTTGTAAAAATGATAGAAAAACTATTCAATCATGAATAATAAATATTATTATGGTTATAGACAAACAATTTTTTACTAATCAACACTGTCAAATAAGTTTTCAATATTAAATGAGAGTTAATCAATAAACTCCATAATTGAATACTGAACAATTTAACTACTGTAAGTTCCTAGAATTTTGAATTGAAACGAATGTACTTTTTTTTAGTCAGTCATATAATTCCTAAATTATCTACAATTTTATCGTTCATTCAATTAGGTGAATATAACTTAAAATTCAAGGACGAATGCGCTACAGGGAGTAATTTTTTAAAGGGTAATGAATGAATAAAACAAGTAAATTTTCGCTTTTCCTTCATTAATTCTTATTCTATTATCCAGTATGCGACTAAAAAATAAATATTCACTAGAGACTTAATAAATAGTTAAAAGGTGTATTACAAGGCGGTAAATATATAACTTCAATGAAATTTAGGCATGATTGCAAATTCGGTCATCTCATCTTGAAAACATGAATAATTTTTGTATGCATTATGTCCTTTCATTATTATTATGAATATGCTTTTCTATCCAATGAAATTTGCATTTCAACTCACGTATTTGTATTATCTTGTAGAAAAAATTGATTGTTTGTAACCATAACAACAATTATTATTGATGATTGAATAGTTTTTCTATCATTTTTACAGTAAAGTGTTGTGCGTAGAGTAAATTTTGGTCGATTATATTTGCGCATTTCCCTAAATGATATATTTATCGTATTTTTAATGAAGTTGTGAGTATTATGAATGTTTCACTGTTTCTAAAATCATTTAGACTAGTTCAAATAAAGGTGCATTTGAACTGACAATAAGTTTCTACAAGATCAAAATGATAATCCAAGTTTTATTGAATTCACGAATCGATCATTGTTAGACCACCATTAGAAATCTGGGAGTACTGGACAGCTTTTTCATCCTGGTATAGGACTTATCAGTATTCCGCATCCACGAGCCCTGCTCGGGGGGTCATAATAATACAGACACTATAGAAAGCAACCCATTGACATGTAATCAAGTCATGATGACACAATTTATAGTCAGGATAATACCTTTATGAACTTAGTACTCAAATTTTATAGTGTTACATTCGGTGGAACTAAAATATATTCAATAAATACGAAACCAATATCCTCTTCCTTTACGAGTGATATATCTTACAGAATCATTCTTTTAAGAAGTGAATTATGCAATCATTAGTGTGCATCACTGATTCTCTAATTTATAATTATTTAAAAATTGTATTATTACTTACTTAAACATATAGGGGTAACTACGATGACTAAACGTTACGTGTTAGAATGATGTAAATAAATCAGTATGAAACATAACGAAAATTATAATATTGACAGAACCATAAACTAGTTGATGGGATTCAGAGTAAAACTATTTATAAGAAAATGAAGCAGCTCAAGTAATCTAAGTATAAGCTTTTACCCTGAAGCCCTTCTAAGATTACTGCTGATCATGCTGGTCCATGCACCACCAGAGGTAACAGGCTCAATGAAAGGCTTGTACTTTAAAATGATTATATGTGATCGTGTTTGCCAGTAATATCAGTTGATCTACTAGCATACACTAAATGTATATTGTTTAACTGGATACCAGGTATTCGCTTACACAAAAGTTACTTCTATTTTTTCAATTTCATTGTCATTTTGAATAATTCTTTATTATGACTAATCCTATCACTTTCCTTATGGTTTTGTTAGAACTATGACAATTGGTTGATATTTTGAAACACCTTGATGAATATACTTTACTAGCTATATGTTACAATATAGTAACAGTTAAACGACGGTAATCGTGAAAGTACTGATGTCAATACAATTTGTGACAACTGTTACATCACTGACAGACGTTTCTGAACTCCACGAATTCTTACTAGAAATTTAGGAACAGTTCGCAATAAATCACTAGTGACCTGAATGTTATGGTTTGGTTGAATGTTTTTGGGGAGATGAATCGAATTAGTTGGTTTTATTCATCATATATTGATCTCTGTCGACGGCTCCGTACTGGGACGAAATAGCTGTCTACTGCTTCCTGGTTTTTATTGATACCGGAATTATTGATAACAGTTTGTGAACAATATTAATAACAAATTAAACCAATCTTCGAAAAACCCTTCAAATAAATTATTGATGGTATTCAATCATGAACAATCAATCAATCCACAGCAACGTAGAACTTCTACGTACGTACGTACATCAGTTCAGGTTGACATAACACTTTAGTACAGAGATGCAATTGTCAATTCAATACCCATAGTAGTAGAGGTAGTCAAAGTATTAGCAGTATTTGGAAATTTTAGGGTTCGACAATATTATTCAAGAATTAGAATCTAGTGAAATAAACTTAAAAAGAAAGATATAAAGTGATGGAGAATTCAGAAGGTTGGGATTTGAGAGAACACAAAGAATGAATACACCTGCACCATTGCAAACGGTTTTGAGCCATGTCATTCAGGGTCTCTAAACATCGGTTACTATGGTCTCGCGGACCCCAACCAGGTAGTCGACACCCAGTAGCATGACTCAGTCCACTTGACAATGACTTCATGGATTTGCTCCATGTGTTGGTATGGCTGCCCCTAGCTTTCGTCCAATCTATTCCTACATCGCAAAACATAGCTCTACGGCGCTGTCGGTAGTTAGGCATACGTAACACATGTCCCAATCACCTCAACTGATGAAGTTTCACTACTTCATATATCGACCTGCCATCCTTACCTAGTACTCGTTTCCTAACTATAGCATTGCTTTCTCGGTTGTCCCATGATACACGAGCAATGCTTCGGAGACACCTATGGTCGAAATCTAGTAACCTATGAATGCCTTGTACTCTGACTGGCCATGTTTCATAGCCATAAATTAGGAGAGGGCGAACTACTGCGTGGTACACTCGTCCTTTAGTCAGCAAACGGATTACGAACAGGTAGTCCTAAACAATCTATTCAACTAAGAAAAATGAGATATGACAATAAAGTATTTTTATACGGAGCTACAAATCGATTATCTCAACGCTATATCCGTGCAATGCATTATAGAAACCGAAAACCTTGATTCACATGTAAATTTTAAATAAACTCAATAAGCAATAAGAACAAATAAACTCCTACAAACTACCATATACTTGAAGTGTATTCTCTTTTCTTTTCATATTAAACAATTGAACCAGTAAAAATATTATGAATTAAATATTAACAAGATAAACGTTCTTAAAGAGGAAATTTTGTGATTAAAAACAAAGAAGAGAAAAGTGTGCATATTTGCGAGGCAGTAGATCAGGTCAATCAAATCAACAGCCTTTATATCAACTTCAAAAATAGTAATATTAACAAATAATAATAATAATTCATAATTGCGTGTTGATAGTAATAGTCTAAATCTCTATGTATATATATATATATTGTGGAAATGCAAATTGTAAGTGACTACGGCCTATAAAAGTATACAATATTAATAATAATTTAAACAATGTAGGTAGATATGTATACAGAAAAAAAATAAAACAATAAGAGGAAAAATAATAAGAGAAAAAAGGAGGACACAAGGAAATTTAATACAAATAAATGCCTAGGCGAAAAACCACAACTATATAAACTAATAATTCTGTTTTTTTTTAAAAAAAATATATATATATATATGTATATAACAGATTAAATAGATATTTCATTGAATAAAAATTCAATAAAAAAACAATCATAAAAGGAAAAACAAAGACTGATTGTGCATTACACGGTTAAGTGAAAAGTAGACGTGTGTATGATGATGTAGAATGATAAAATATTTGTAATTATGCGAATAAATGTGATTTTTTACAAATATCAAAATGAGTGGTGTGTTCACAGTAGTATATATATATATATATATTTAAATATCGAATAACATTCAAAGATCACAATAACATGAGGAAATCACTGCTGAAGAATAAATGCATGATGAGAGAACGAGAGAGTATCAAACATTGTTGTGATACAATTCCCGAATAAATGATTGTGTGAAAAATGTTTGAAAGATTAACTATTATGTAATAATAAATAACATGATCTGTGATAAATGCAATAACGAAATAGTGCAGAACAGAAAAAAAAAGATAGTTCCATCACAGAAAATATGGGCATGTATATGTGTGTGTGTATGCATGTGAAAACATACTGGATGTTGTGTTGAGAGTGGTTGAATACAATGAATATGGAAATTCAAATTGCTATCCTCCTTAATGACGATTACCTCGTTGTCGTAATAACCTGGAAAAGAAAAGAAAATGTTATGATGAAATATATAGAAAACAATAAATAGCATGGAGTTAAGTAAAAAAATAAACACTAATGATAATACTTGATTAGTAGTACATCTTGAATGTTGTTCTTTGACACTACTATATAAATGCGAATTAATCAGTACTGATCATAACTTTTAATTACATATTTGCTAGTATTGGTAACAAAGAACGAGTAGAGTTAATTGCTCTTTATTGAAGTGATTGCACAACAGTTAGGTGTTAGCACACTTTCCATTTACAGTATGTTCCCTAAAAAAAGTGATCTGCTTTAAAAAAAAACATGAAATATTTGGTTAAATTATATATATTTCTATATATGTTTATTTCATCTTAAGTTAGATGTTAACTATGAATAACTCGTTTATGAAGAACAGATTCACATTGTAGATGAGAGAGATTGTACAGATCATAATAAATTTTTTCAGCGTAAACAAAACCATCCTAAACAAACATACATAAAACTTCACTGTGAAATAAATAAAATTCTAACTGGAACAGACTATGTATTATCATAAACACAAATGTATACACTGTATGTTTGTAGAAACACGAATCTTTTAGTAGTAGCACACATGAAAATCTACTCTAAAAGTACCGATTATAAATGATCAGATTTTAACACTTGCGGACAAACTAAAAAATAATACTATGGTCTGATTTTTAAAGTCCTTTTTTACTCTTTTAATTCAAGTGTTTTCCCGATTACCGTCATAAAAACTCTCTAAAAAGCCTCTTATATATGTAAGGGGTTTTATTGAAACTGAAATATGATCCTTTTAGATGTGTTTGTGATGGGAAGATTGGTTACATTAGTAGACAACATAAAATGATAAGAATTTATCGTGTGGATGTTCAAGCTATAAAACTTATTATTATAACTAAAAACAACACACTATCGACTTGAAACTTCTATCTAAGAGGAATTTGAGGAATAGTAGAAGCCAATAGTCTACAAAACATTCATTTATTCAACGTTCGACCTTCAACACAGTCTCGCATATTGACGAGGTGAAGTCGAATAAATTACTACCGAGAATCCTGAATTGCTGTTTCGGAAACAGCACACATCAATGGCGCGATATTCTAAAGTGCTAGCTGAGTGTTGGGGATGCTAGATCCCCAAAACTCGCTTGATAAATGCCTTATTTTGGTTTCCGCGTTTGCCAGCATGGGCTGGTAAGTTGACCCTGAGACTTCATTTCCCACTAGGAAAATCCTTGGCTGTGATTGGCTGCTGTGTATTTTAGTGTGCTATTTTCTTAACTGTTCCAAGGACGTTTCTATGATGTATAAATAAACGAGAGTTGTATGCTTGATTGTATTGTGATTGCTAGGTGTTTGTAGAATATACTGTTACGCTTAAAAAGCCTTCTTTTTACTTCCGCTGGGATTCAAGGTAGCCTACGTGGACGCTGGTAAAAGTCTCGTTCGCGTTTATCGATTAAGGTAAACTCGTAATAGCCTCAAGCATACTTAGTGACGAACATAATACTAAGGAAGCCTGTTGTTCTATTTGGCACAAGGTCCGAAAATAAAAAGCTCCAACATGTAGTTTAGATTGAGGTTTCAAGACACCAGGAATAACATTTCGTGTGCTCAAATCATTGGCATTAGCGGCGTGAGGTGATTAAGGTACACGAGAAGGGTTGGCTGTGGAGATAGGAAATTTGTTGAGAGTTGTAGGAAGGATTTTATTGTGACCAATTTGGTTTCGTGTGCTGTTAGGAGTATGAGGGTGGATATCATTTCTCGGCTGCTCACACTGTGGAATGGTGTTTCTTGCGGAACCTTAAAAGGAAATTGCATTAGCGTTGGCCTTAGCGACCTGGGAGCGTGACTGTAAAACCCAAGTAACAATTGCTTGATACGGACCACTCACGCCCTTTCTATGCGAAGTTTTTAAAGTATTAGCTCCGCTCTTGTTTAAAAGGCCTTACCACCGGAGACAGAAATCCGTGAGGTAAGGTGAAGTGTGACATTTTTAGGGTCGACTTTTTCTAACCCTTCCTTCTTTGTGAGAAGACAGCATCGCTGCATATGCTGGTTGTCTGAGGGAAACACCATACTGCTGTCACATCCCTCTGCAGTCAGCAGAACGACTTCGCCCTCAGAACTAAAGTAGCTGTTTTTAGTCCCGTCGTTCTCAAATCGACCTGCCTGCCATGATATGACCTAAAGGAACATATGTTCCAGCCAATATAGCTCGGTTGGATCATCACGATAGGCAAGTCCGACCACCACCTGACAACTACGGTCAGTGCTACAGAAGTTAGTAGCTATTCGTGTAGATATACCTAATTTTTTTAAGAATTCGCTTTTAGTTTATATATCACTACTGTTTTAAGGTGAATATAATCATCTTAGTATTTGCCAGGTTTAAAATAGTCTAATAGTCGATGACTAATAATCAAGTCATTCATCCTACTGCGACTTAGAAATAAGCATTTACTCTAATCCACGTCGATGGGTAAACGTTATGTACACACCAACTAGTGAGTGCGATTGCTAAAACTGTGAAGTTTTCCAAAAAAAACAAGTTAACATAATAACTCATTGAACATAAATTTAAATACTGCAACAACTTATGAATCGATTGGATAGAATGGTGAAGATATTATTTATTGAACTGTAACCCAGAACAAATGCATCTAACCGCTTGAGTCCCAAAAGCTGGCGTACGGAAAGTAGAATAATAACAATCTGAGTTGTTGATACTGACTGAGTCCGATAAATTCAACGAATTATACCAAGAAACTATTACGTTTTTTATCGGACTATGGTAATCTTTACTGAACAAAGATTGGATATTCCCTTTATACGTAAAGTGATTTGTAGATACTAGCTAAACAGGACGACTAATAGACGACTTGGACAAAACCAACAAACTAAGGGACAAAAACCAATCAAACAGAAGGGTTAATGCAGAATGAGAAATAAGTTATGGCCGTTGTCCTTACGGAAGAGGATTAAGATTTATTGATGCATCTCTGATAACTCTGAAGTCTACTTAGTAGGAGTCATAATCCATGAGAAATAATTATTTAAACGAAACTGAGGTTTAAAGTTTCTGACTATAGTTTAACCAGCATACGTTTGTAATGATGCATATGTATACGTACATTAGGTTGCTGTGTTTGAAAATTCTTGTTCGAAGATGCACAAGATTCTGGGCTAATTTGATTAAAAAAGTGGACATGCAGTACCATGTGATAACAAGATATAACTAGCAAATAATTAGTTTTTAAGAATAAATCTATCCATCAGTAAACAACTTACATATTCTCACTTGCTTCATCTACCCCATACTCTATATTTGGTGTTTTGCTAGATGTGACCAAATTATCAACTGCTTCTTCTCGCTTAGCGCGCTCACGACGTTTCAATTCGTAAATTAGAATAATTATGAATAAAATCACCACCTCTATGATAATACCAATTAAAGGCCATAGGGGAGCACGACGATCTATATTGTGAAAATAAGTAGTTAAGCATACACGTTAAAAATTTCAACATGATAAAAACGAAATTACTTGTTTATAAAGCTACATTGAATCTTCTCAAACTGCAATAATTACTGTCACTTACTACCATACAGGCATGTAAGGTACTTTATGACTGTAAGCATTTAAAACATCAAGACTATGAAAACCGTAATTACTACTTATTTATCTAAAGGATTTGGCCTAAAAAACCCCTGTAAGTGATATGCTGAACAAGCAATAATTTTCCATAATATCCCATTTTCGTGTTAGATTCGGTGTATAGTTGCGTAATCAAGGTGAATTTTCGTTTTCTGAGCGTAAACTTCAAGTAGACTTCTACCTGAAGTTTGTGATGATGATGTTGTTCAGAAGAACAATGAAAGCTCCACAATCACACCCTTCAGTTCAGCGAAAGAAACTCCATCATAATCATCCACCTAAGCTAAAAAAAATTCATCAATCTCATACTTACGTAATACCAATTACTTTGATTCGTATGTCTATAAAATCTATGAAAGACCAATGATTACGAACTTAAAATGGTATAGTGCAGAATCGGTTGCACGAATAACAATTGCATTCTGAAAGCAATTACAACAGTGTCAAGAGATGACCAGCTTATAGACAATTTGTTGTCGAAGTCGGTGACACAATTTGAAGTTTAACATTTTAGTGATAAGTATCTTTCGATAATAATAATGATGATTTACCAATCTTAATGATTTTTAATCCATAATTATAAAATTTATCCTTCTGAAACAAAATAATGGTGTTTATCGTGTGAAACAGGGATTTCCAGGAAATTTTTGCATTAGTTTAATTCGCAGCAGTAATTACAAGATAGAACTACGACTTCACATGAAAGTAAATTAAGCATGAAACCGATTTTTTTTTCAAAAGCATGGAAAACCAAAATTCTAAGATACAAAATAGATATGAAGTGTAGTTTGATTAAATCAACACGATGAAAACTGCAGAGAACAAACAAACCTCGATAAAAAATTTTATAAAAAATTTTTTAAATAAAATCATTAAAACTCAGAATGTTAGATAAACGAAAATACTGTTATGAAACAAGTATAATAAGGAATTGTTAGACAATAAAGTTAAAAATTAAAATTTAGGGAAATTCAATGCTATTGTAAGCAATCATTGAAATCGCAATTTTATTTTCAGTCTCATAATACGACTGAATTTAAACAACATTACGATAATGATTGTATAATACAAAGTGAATATGTTTCATGTCTGAAACTGCACAAGACAAGCTCTCACTTGGAACCCTCACGGTAAAAGGAAAAGAGCAAGGCGAAGGAACACATTATGCCGAGAAATAGAGAAAGACATGAGAAGAATGAGCAAAAATTGGTAAGAACTGGAAAGGGAAGCCCAGGACAGAGTTGGTTGGAGAAAACTGGTCGGCGGCCTATGCTCCATTGGGGGTATTAGGCAGAAAATATATGTACACCACTCCTCATAATGACTTAAAAAGTACAAATTTATATTCAGCAAAATCTTATCAGACCCGAAGAAACCAGGCCAAGTTACAGACCTGGACGTGACTGCATAGACCATATATTCACACTTCGACAGGTCCTCGAACATAGACGCACACGCAGACATCCCACAATAGTTGTAATCTTTGAGCTTCAAGCGGCATTTGACGCTGTTGATCGTGAGGTTCTATGACAGTGCCTGTGATTGAAGATGTACCATAGAAGTACATTAACATGTACAAGCTCTCAACATGAACACTACTGGTCAAGTGACAGCTTATAATGAACTGTCACCAGAATTGATTGCTTCAAGCGGTGTACCTTAGGCCTGTCCACTTTCTCCATTCTTATTTAACTTTATCACTGACGTGCTATTAGATACAACACTTTCATCATCTGGCATTTCAGCAGTTGACCTTCTACGAAGCGATTCGCTTTTCGACCCAGAATATGCAGATGACATAGATTTACTCGATGAAGACGCTGAGAAAATACAGAGTAGTCTGGCACCCTTAAATAAAAACGCCAGCATGTGATTCTCCCACTCGAAGTGCAAAACTTTGCTTCAGGATTTAGTTCCTTCGGCAACTGAACTAGTGATAGGAAGTCAACTAGTTGAGAGTGCTGATAGCTCCATCTTCAGTAATGATGGCCAGGTGTCTGACAAAGTCTCGGTGCGGAGACAGAAGGCTCGACTGGCTTTGCCAACTTCAGTTATTCACGGGTTCACTGCAAAACAGTTCGCTCCATCCCAATTCACAGCTGTGAAACAAAACCAGTAAGAGTTTGGGACATTCGTAGGTTACGAGTACTCGATCATTGGTATCTTCTAAGCATTGCTCGTATACCCTCAGACCATCGAGTAAGCAATGCTGTTGTTAGTAAAAGGGTACTAGGTAACGATAGCAGACCAATAGACGAAGTGGTGTGACTTCGTCAGTTGAGGTGGTTGGGACATGTATTACGAATGCCTAACCACCGACTGCCTCGTCGAGCTATGTTTTGTGGTATAGGAGTAGGTTGGAAGAAAGCTATTGGCAACCAGATCAAAACACGGTACAAATCCACAAACTCTCTGACAAGTGAACTGAGTCATGTTGGTAGGTGTAGACTACTAGGTTGGGGTCCGCGAGACAATCATAACTGGTGGTTAGAGACTTTGAACGACATGGCTCGAAAACGTTTGCAATGGCACAGGCGCATCCATTCTTGGTCTGCTCTTAAATCCTAATCTGAATTCCTCATGACTTTAAATTTATTTCTCTGAATCATACTTGTTGAATAATATATTCGATTACTAATCTTTTCCATTACCGCTGTGGTGCGCGCTACTTATAAATAGTATATGACGCGAGTACAAACGTAATGTCTGGCAGCAGAAGATGGGGTAAGATCAAGTATGGAAGAGCGGGAACACAATCGGTTTTGCATGAAACGCATGAACAGTGAAATGTCAGACAATGGATTGATGTTTGCAACAGGAACAGTCCAGTTCGATATGATGGATTGATATTTTGCAAATTAACGATTTACGATACGGTTTTTCTATTTTACCAATTAACTCCGTAATTTGAGATAACTACAATTCGGTTGCCCTCACCTGTGTTCTCCTTCACTACACCGCTAGTACTTCTACTACATCTAGCACTATGGAATATGAATTGACAATTGCATCACTGTGCTAATGTGGTATTGCAACTTGAATTGATGAACGTACGTACGAATTTCTATGTTGTAATTGACTGACTGACTGACTATCATATACATTTACAAGTTGAAATATTGGTTTCTAACAAAGTATACACACATGAGAAATAAAAACTGCGTTACCCATCGCACTTAGTTGCAATAATAAACTCATTGTAATGTTAGAATACACAAAAAGATATGACGGAAGACAGGAAAAACGTGATACAAAGCTAAAAAAACATTATTAGTTATGACTGATTTTCAAACAATAAAATATTTACTTATTGTTACACATATTGGGGGAACATATTATCACCGAGTATTTATGGAATAATTAATGTCCTATCAACGAATGAATCAAAATGGACTAAATTATTTCCTAAACACCAAACTTATTCAATCGAATTCACATTATTCTTTATAAAACAATTAAACATAAAAAGTTGAATATTCATTTCAGAAAAATTTAACTTGAAATAAAAACCAACCTTTCACTCGTAAAAAGAAAGCTGCTGTATCATTCCCAAATGCTCCACGAACAAAACAAGAATAGACAGCTCTATCATCTGGTTGTATTGTATCAAATACGATTTGATCATTGAGAATTTTTTTACTTTCAAAACGTATATGATTTTCAGAATTGTATTCAATTACTAGGGGAACATTATCCCTCATCCATGAAACAGATCCCGTGATTGGTGGATAAGCAATAATATCACAAAAGTAGGTGTATTTCACACCAGAATAAAGATTCACATTACGTTCATTTTTATGTATTAATGGTGGGACTTGATATTCGTAGATGTGTATATATGTACCGAAGAAATTGTCCAGTATGGAAAAATAAGAGAAAAAAAGCCAATAGGTTTAACGGTTAGTTTAATGCTATTGTATTGACTAAACTCAATTAATAGCAAATAGATCGGTTAGAATGATTTTTTGCACAACAATACCATTAAAAACAAACTGCACACAAATATCACCTAACAATAATCATGAATAATCAGATGAGTAAATTCAAAGCGGAGAATGTTAACATAGTTCAACTTGACAGACTTAAACACTTCTCATTTTAAATGTAATTAATTTCAGCTTTCATCATATGACCTGAGAATAGTGATCGTTTGCTTTTTTAATTAAGTCGAAACCCATATGCGCATGCTGATAAAAACTTATGGCTTAAAATAGATAATTGGATACTTTCGATGGGACAGGTAAACTGTTTATAACAGTTAGGGGTTTTAAAGATTGTTGAATTTTATTGAAAACACGAATCGAGCGAAGTTAAAACACCATTGAGAATTCAGAAGCACTAAACGGCCGTTTTTCCTAGAGTAGGACTCAGTGTTATAGAGGTTAAGCATTGGCGCATAAGGACGAAAGTCTTGGGTTTGACTGGCGAGTGTGGGGTCATCGATGCACACTGTCGAAGTCCCACGCTAAGACGAAATAGCCGTCCAGTAATTTCATATTTTCAATGACGGGCTAACTTAGATCGTTACATGGTATCAACAAAACTCTATATCTTACTTCAAATAACATTTTTTTGAATGTGAAACATTTTATTTTCGGTTAATTAACATATTTCTTGGTTTGAGATGGTGATCTAACTAAGATTAGTCTGTGAGGTGAACCATATGGTTATGAATTATTAATTAACAATTAAGCATTTAGACCGTTTAATTATAACTTTATAAGTAAGTCTTATATGATTTCTTAATATACTTCAACACTTAAACAACAACATTGTTTAGTACTTTACATTGAAATATTTTTGTACTCATGGTTTACCGTAAAAGTTCACTTTTTGATATTGACTTATATTTCAAATATTTTCGAAATAGTTTCTAAATAAAAATTCAGTACTGTTCGAGTAGTATCCAATCAAATAAAGAAGAACAGTTAGTATAAATCTAAACTAACATATTTATTGTGAGATTACTGATACTGACTGGTTGAGGGGTGAACTACAGTTCCTCAAACCAAAGAAATTAAAAGTTTCTGAACGCCAGTCACAGTGAATGAAAATCGAGTGATCAAAATAACTCAGCATCAATTTCATGACTTGGATTTTTATACAAGAGCTATTAACTCTTTGACTTAATTATTAACAACTAAGAATAAAACAAGAAAGTGGACTGTTAGTCTTCTGCCCTGTAGTGAAACACCTGGGTATTTGTTGAATTTTCACTGTGACTTCGAAGGATGAGTCACTGAAAAAGTGAACGACATGAAGATAAAATTTCGTTTATGGACTAAAGTTTTCAAAACGAGTATGTGAATCAAATCACATTGTAGTAAGCTCTGATGGGGTACCCTGAAGTCAAAGTATTTTAGCGCAATAATAAATTTTACGAAATCTAATAATTATAGGAAAGAGTAAAAATGATTCCTAGCAATATAAATACCTTTTTTGGTGATTGAGAAAGAAAACCTGAACGATTAATATGGAACTATCATTTTATAGAAATATTAAGAAAATGTCGAAACAAACTAACTCACTGCTTATTTCTACTTCAGCTGTCTCCATAGTCCCAGGTACAATATTGAACATGCAATAATATTTCCCATACAATTCTTGATCATAGGCTATCAAAATATAAAATAAGTAACACGATAAACAAATAACAATAAACAGATTATAGTTCGTAAAATAGACTGGTCTGATAGAATCGCGTATTGAATCATGTATCAGTGTAAATTAAGGAAATTTTGATTTTCATAACGCGTCTTATTACGACTGTATCAAAACATATTTTTCATAATCCATGACGAAAAATCCTTACCTTTTACTTGATGATGAATAAAAAACCACAATTCCAAACGTAAAGAGACTACTGTACTTTCCGATGAACTGGTGTATAAGGGATGGAAAGAGCTAAAACATAGCTGTCATACTTCAATAAGTTAAGACAGTCAATGAATAACTAATTAAACTGGGACAAGAATCCTTAAAGTTTGTGTAGATAATATTATCAGAACTAAAAGCATGACTGTCAAAACAGGCAGATCCATTAGGTATACGTAAGAATAAAAGCAACTACTTAGAGTCTGAGGGCAAAGTCTAACTGCTGACCGTAGTAGAAGGGTGTGACAGCGGTAAAGTGTTTCCCTTGGACAGTCAATCAGCTACAACATAGAAATTCGTACGCACGTTCATCAGCTCAAGTTGCAATACCACATTAGCACAGCGATGCAATTGTCAATTCATATTCCATAGTGCTAGATGTAGTAGAAGTACTAGCGGTAATGGAGAAGATTAGTAATCGAATATATTATTCAACAAGTATGATTCAGAGAAATAAATTTAAAGTGATGAGGTATTCAGATTAGGATTTAAGAGCAGACCAAGAATGGATGCGCCTGTGCCATTGCAAACGTTTTCGAGCCATGTCGTTCAAAGTCTCTAACCACCAGTTATGATTGTCTCGCGGACCCCAACCTAGTAGTCTACACCTACCAACATGACTCAGTTCACTTGTCAGAGAGTTTGTGGATTTGTACCGTGTTTTGATCTGGTTGCCAATAGCTTTCTTCCAACCTACTCCTATACCACAAAACATAGCTCGACGAGGCAGTCGGTGGTTAGGCATTCGTAATACATGTCCCAACCACCTCAACTGACGAAGTCACACCACTTCATCTATTGACCGGCTATCGTTACCTAATACCCTTTTACTAACAACAGCATTGCTTACTCGATGGTTTCAGGATGTACGAGCAATGCTTCGAAGATACCAGTGGTCGAATACTCGTAACCTATTAATGTCCCAAACTCTTACTGGTCATGTTTCATAGCTATAAATTGGGAGTGAACTGCTGAGATATCAAATCGAGAATTTTCTAACGTGGTAGCTCTACTCTTCTAAAGGCCTTATCATCGAAAACAGAAATCCGTGGAGCAAGATGAGATGTGACATTTTTAGAATCAAATTTTTATAACCACTTCCTACTGCATCGGAAAAACAGCGTCGCTGCATGAACTGGTTGTTCGAGGAAGAAGCAGAGCTAGTACGTTAACTTCCAAGAAAAAGCAGTGACTGACCGGTATCAAAAAACTGTTACTTGAGCTTTGCAGTCAAGCACACACGTGACTAAGGCCAAAACTAATGCAATTCCCTTTTTGGGTTCCACAAGCAACAACCTTCCATGGTGTGGGTAGCCAGGAAATGATATCCACCCTCATACTCCTAACAGCACACGAAACCAAATCGGTCACAATAAAATCCTTTCTACAACTCTCAACAACTTTCCTATCTCCTCAGCCAACCCTTCTCGTGTACCTTAATCACCTCACGCCGCTAATGCCAATGATTTGAGCACACGAAATGTTATTCCTGGTGTCTTGAAACCCCAACCTAAACTATATGTTGGAGCTTTTTATTTTCGGACCTTGTGCCAAACAGGACAACAGGCTTCCTCAGCTAGCACTTTACAATATCCCGTACTGTTTCCGAAACGCGAATACAGGATTCCCGATAGTAATTTATTCGACTTCACCAGGTCAATATAAGAGACCGTCGCCGCACACCTCTCACGTACCTGCAGACCCCACTGCTACTTTCCATGGCCTCGCGTGAGTACGTGTAGTATTCAGATCAAAAGTAGAACTAGCTTTCCTGGACTGGATTTCAGTAGACAGTCAATTGTACGCTGTCCAACTAAAAGGGACAGTAATAAGTCAGAAAGATAGGTACACTCGTCGTTTTTTTTGTTATCTCTGCCCACACTCCTACTGACTGAAGTTCTGATGAGGAAAAAGATGAAATTTATGGAAAGCTTTACAACCTCCTTCAAAAAGCTAAGTGCACTGATGTATTCATAGTTATTGGCGATTTTAATGCTGAAGTAGCCAGACTGGACGAAACCGAAAGACACCTGAGTGGATCTTATGGTGTCGGTGTAGATACAGAATTCTCGACTGGCTTTGCCAACTTGAGTCATTCGCGGCGTAGGTGAGATCTCCGTCTACAAATTAAAACACGAGTTCACTGCAAAACAGCTCGCTCCGTCCCAATTCATAGCTGTGAAACATGGCCACTAAGAGTTTGGCACATTCGTAGGTTACGAGTATTCGATCATTGGTATCTTCGAAGTATTGCCCGTATATTCTGAGACAATGCTGTTGTTAGTAAAAGGATAATAAGTAAGGATGGCCGGTTAATAGATGAAGTAGTGTAACATGGCTCGAAAACGTTTGCAATGGCACAGGCGCATCCATTCTTGGTCTGCTCTTAAATCCTAATCTGAATTCCTCGTGACTCTAAATTTACTTCACTGGATTATACTTGTTGAATAATATATTCGATTACTAATTTTCTCCATTACCGCTAGTACTTCTACTACATCTAGCACTATGGAATATGAATGGACAATTGCATCACTGAACTGATGAACGTACATACGACGTTCTCTGTTGTAGTTGAATAAGTGACTTGTAAGACAGGTATTTACTACTAAATTATTTAAGTATATATTTATGTACTATGTACTACGTACCATAAGTCACACACGTTATGTGAACATTGATAATACAATGTCTTTACTTTTGTATATACAGTGGAAATGAAGGTTAAGACCAATCGAAAATAGAACGACTGGGTTAATAAGTCACATGAAAAAGATTTACATCGCTAACAAGTATTGCGTTAAATGGGTTATCAAGTTAAGGGATGAAATGTGAAGTAATGAAGATTAAATGGAGTAAAATTATTAAACTTACAGGGATGAAGCAAAGTCAAATTACTCCATATTATGCCAGATTTCTCGTCTCGACTTTCAGTAACTTTATAAAGATTGGGTTTAGAATGATACTTTCCGCCTCTCCAACGAACAGTAGTGTACTTTACACCATTTGAACCAACCCGAAATGCACATGCGACAACAGGATAATAACTTGAATTGATTGCGTTAATTTGGAGATTGTAAGCACCAATGACCTCATGTTTTTTAATCAAGTGGATAGTACTGCTAATTTTGTTTAGAACTAAACATGAAACTCAATTACTAGTATTAAAATACCTCCATAGACATGAACGTTTATCTGACGACTAGCAAGTCCATTAGTACACTGATATACACCCGACATGTTAAACTGAACACTGATAAGCAGTAGTGATACTTCTTCGTTTTTTTGTGATGAAATAGTAATATGTCCCGTATTATTTAGTGGCACGAAAGTCTCATCTTGTGACGGAGCATAAAGCCATCTTAGGAGATGCTCGTCAGATACTGTGCGGCAAATTAAAGTGACATAAGAGTTGTAAACGATAGCAACCCCATCTAATTCTTTTTGGTTCCCATTGGTATCTAACACAATAACTTCGGGCGTAACAGAACCTGGAAAGAAATTCACATTAATAATTTTTAACGAGACAGTTAATGTATACAAAACTGTATAAAACTTTATTCAGCAAATAAATTAATTAGGAAGCTAAGTCATGTGCATCATTATTAGATTGGGCTCGTATTAACTATCTTTGCAACACATAACTCAAAAAGTGTAGATCAGAGGAAAACGATTTCGTATACTATTAACTTCATATCCACCTTGACGAATTAAAGCCCTATGTTAGCAATAATTTAAGAAAGGAGAAATACAGTGACGTGAACTCCAAGAAGACGTGATTCCCTAAGGTCTTTACACACAGCATTTATTGCTTTGACCTAAGAATGAGGGACTAAGGAATCCATAAGACCCACACCGAAGAAAAAATGAGAGGATGATTTAGCATCTCTCCACTTTTGGTGGGAGACTGTTAAAAAGACGACCTATGAAATCTGATAAAATAACATTGTATTATCCTTATATAGAACTCCGAAATATCCTGAAGACCACCATATGTATTTGAAATTGAAGTTTCTACCTGATTGCCTATATCATGTTTTTTAAACATAAAGATAGTATTTGAAAATGCGAATGACTCTTACCTATCTGAGATGACTTGTAAACCAACGAAGTGAAAACTAAGACTATCCACAAACAACCCTCTCCTAGTCTTTCAAGCATTTTAATAAACCCTCACTGACCTTGGTGCAGTAAAAGTTAACATTTCGAAAGTTGGGAATATAATTCTTCATAGTCTCGGCAATAGCTATGGTATCTACCCTTAATTTTACCACTATTTTGCTTCGATACGCTGACAGATAATGTCAAAGTTACGAGTGAATTTTATAGTAGTTCGCTC